AACAGTATCATAATGTTGGAAGCCCTAGAAAGAGTTGTCTGAGCTTACGCCATGGAGACGCTATGGTGAAAGGGTTTCAGCATTCAAGGGGCCAACCTGGAACAGACTTTAGTACTTTACTCCTTAGTTAGATCTTGCTATGGACAATATTGCTAACATTCGCATTGTGTTTAGTAACTGTACTTGGATACTGTACAAATTTTTGACAAGAAGGATCCTAGGAATTATGGAATTTAGTTTGTTCTTTCTTGTTTCAAGTCAGAAGATCATGTAAAACCTGATACAGTTGTACTGATAGTAGATCATGGATGAAGGTAAACTGTACATGTCATCAATAACTTCTGTGTGGAAGAGCATACTTAAAAGTAGAGAAGTCTATTTTAGCTGTATTTTCACTGTCGAGTATTAGTAATTTTCAAGATATCACTGTTCCAAGTTGTTTGCCATGGGGTTTTTTTGTGTACATGAGGACATTTAAGATATGTTTTTGTATTGCTGTTAAACTTACCATCAAGGACATTTGCTTAAGAAACTTGAATTGTACCACTTTTGATACTAGTACTTGAAGAGATGTAACCTTGTGAGCATATTTTAAGTACAAAAATGGTACGACAAGTGTGTGTTTCTTTACTGCGTTTTTTTTTTTACAGCTGTTGGTGGTAAATGTGCAGATGTTAGTAATCTCCAAGCAGATCTTTTGGTGGGGGTAAGACAGTATGAAATTGGCCAGTCTGTAACCATTTCCCCACCCAAAATATGCTGGCTGAAACATAGAAATGTCAATAACTGGGCGTCGTGGTTCAAAACCGCAGACATCACAAAACATATGTAGGACCTTCTTTTCCTTTAGTTAAACTGTCCAAAACAAGAATTCGGAGATCTCATACCTCTGTGAAATATATGAGTTTTTGTAAATGTTTTTATTTGTCTCATTGACTATGGAAATAAGGTCGTAATTAGCATAATCTAGTTTAATTTATGGTTTTCTTAATTCAAATAATGTTTTTCGTGTAAAATTCCTCTCCTTTGTCATACTTCAGTTCAACATGTCCTCATTCATTATGTAAATGACTTCTACATTTAGTGGGGCAGATAACTGAAATAATCTTTTAAATTGTGATACAAGCGCCGTACAAATACTCATGAGACATTACGCGGGCCAATTGATTTGACTTTTGGTGCCCCCTAGCGGCACTTTTTGGTACTGCAGCCGACCTTCCGGGCTTTGTATCTCCTGTTCTAAACATGCTACAGTTATGATTTTTTTTTTGTGGTAGAAAGCTGTTGGGGTAAAAAAAGTGACGTAAATTTTGTGTCTCTAGCAGCTTGCGTTGGAACTGCAGTGGCGTTTTTTGCCGGTGCACAATTTGCTCCAAGGGCGCTCTTTGGTACTGCGGCCGACCAAAAAGTCCTCTCCTTTAAGCAAATTGTGCACCGGCAAAAAACGCCCCTGCAGTTTCAACGCAAGCTGCTAGGAACACTAAATTTACGTCACTTCTTCCTTACCCCAATAGCTTTCTACCACATAAAAATCATGACTGTAGCATGAAAAAAAATTCCCCTCCTTCCGTTCCCTGAACTCATTGTTTTGCTTGGTAAGTGATCATGAAATGCGCATATTAGAGATCTCGGTCACCAATTTACGATGTTGATTTTACACTCCCGACTGTGCCATGTTTCGTACAGTTAGCCTGGGGATTGCATGCAGTAGGGGACACAGCCTCAGGGGGTCGCAGTGGCTGATTTCATAGAGCTCTTTGGTATCAATTGCAGAGCATTCAAGGTTCTTAAGTCATATATAAGTAATATACGTCATATATAAGTAATATGCGTCATACCAAGGCCTTGGTCGCAGTTCTCCTGTAGGTCACTGGTATTTCTCCGGGTTGTTGAGAGCCGGGCTTGTGTCATATATGGTTGACATGTGTCGATGTGACATTGTAGCTACCTGGCACCGTATTATACGTTCCGGATACCCGTTCGTTATCTCTACGGCGCACGGCTGTGCCTGGATTTGGGTTGGTCATTACTGTTGGAGTAGTTTCGTATGCTGCTCAGGCTTTGGGATGTTGCGAGTCGGATACGTTTTTATGTTTGTCATATGTGGTTTGTTTGCCACACACCCTTTTTCCGTACTCCGTATTATATGTTCGACGAATAGTTCGATCATTATCTCTACAGGGTTAAGCTGGAAGGAAAGTACCCGGTCTTCCCTGGTTTGCTGAGTGCCAGTTTGTTTAATTCGTGTAACCTTTGCTGATATTGGCCCGCCAATTTTTTTACTGGCACCGTATCCATACGATCGGTATTTCGTTATCTCTACAGCCAATGGCTGTGTATAAGATGACGTGAGATTTAACTCAGCACATCTCCTTGCACACTTAATTTTTGTGTTTTGACTATGGAACGGCTATGTGCTGGAGTATGACTATGACTCATTGGACTTTTATGCTTTTTATGTATGTTGCCCTCCTTTCTTTTACTATGTAACAATGTCTTGTCTTGTAACATGTTGGTTCCCCTTGGAACAGCGACCCTCACACAGCTAGTACTAACTTGCTGCATGTTAACTCAAAAATTTATCAACATTCAGTGTCTTATGAGGGCCTGAGAGCTTCCCTCTATCTCTTAGGCATAGCGAGCTTTATCGTCATTTTTACTGATCCACATGAGTATTATAATTCTATATTGTAGTCTCTACTGTCTTGTCCATTCTCCCTGCAGGCTCTGGCTCAATATTTAAGAGTATTCTTTCTAGTAGGCTTTCTATACTATTTTGTAGTCCCAGTTTCTCCTGTTATCTTCCCCTGTAGCCACCTGAAACACTGAGCCAGACCCTGCATCTGCTTGGAGATTAATATGCAAACATATCGGGGAAAATGTGTGACAGGCTGAATAAAAGTTCTAAACGAGAACTATGCGGCTCCAGGTGTCTTACTAAGCTTATAAGGGACGACTGCGTGTGCAAGATGTCGGTTAGCTTGAGGAATGAATCCCCTCTACTTTATATCGGGAAAAGTCTGTCTTATTTTGTAACAAAAGAAGGTCTTTCCTCCATTACAGTATTATTTGTAGCCAAGTATTACAGCAACTATGGTCTGAGGTGTAACCTGTCAGAACAACATGTTTCTGAGAAGAGGAAAATACAAGTACAAGTATGTTGCCTGGATTAGATATTTATGTAAAAAGTGGAAAAGTCAATTTGAGAGCAACACGCATGCCTTAAGTGCATTACGAAACATCCTTACTGCTTTCTGTGCAAGGTCTGATGCTTGGTATCTATTCTTCAAAAGTTGAAAGGCCGGCTAAAACCAGTGAATGCAAAAGCCACCACACTGATAGCGGCAAGGACCACCACCCTGTCTCCCTTTACAGTGGGGCTTTTGGAGGTCTTACAACAACCGGGCTTGGAGCAGCACTCAGGGGGACACGTGGGGCTGTTCCTCACACAGGTGTCAGGGTTGGTCACCGGGCAGCAGTCGAACGGACAGGTGATGTCAGTCTCACCTGGATCACAGGTGTTGTCACCGCAGAAAGGTGCATCAGAGTCAAGGCTCCTTGAGAAAGGGATCATTTTCATCAAACAGAAACCTGAGCTTAGATGTTTTTCCATGGTTTCCTGGGAAATGCATTATGTTAGAATCTTAGTGCAGCGGATAGTGCTCTAAATTTTGCTTTTTCTAGTAAATAATGATATTAATCATAACTAGAAAGGCAACATTTGTGAGCAAATACAGCATATTTTACTGCCTTTCCCTCCCTGATGCAAAATCACCCTTGTGCTAAGATGGACCATTCATCTGTCAAAAATCAGCTCATTCCAAAATGGAACTTCCCAATTTGACCCTAATTCCAAAGTGGACTCATCCAAAACAGCCCAATGACATGTAAAATAGGAGTCCAAAAGAAACATTTCTGTGCCGAATTTCTGACCATTTGGCCAACAAAATTAAATCATTGACCAAAAAAATAAGACAAAGGTGTATAAATATATTCTCTGTATACCCGGTACATTGCGGACAAAAAGATTCTAACAACGACAGTTATAAAGACCATTGAAAGTTGATGAAATGTCAAAAAGAGAAAAGTGCTAGTGGTGGCTTACCTGGCCTTCTGTTGGAAGCGTTTGTTACAGCGGTTTTTGAAGAATATGCTCCAGACCCAGCACGCACCAGGGAAAACCCAGGAGTACTCCTTGTTGCACCTGACAATAACAGTAAATCAACGTCAGTTCTAATAAACCAAGCTGACCTGCTTGCTGGTGACCCCCTCCCAGCGTATCTCGGCCGAATGCCGACGTGGTCCCGCCAGAGGCGGTGAAGCCCGTCCTAGAACGGATACATCATTTGACTGTTATATAATTACTGATCTTTAAGTTCCTGCCACGTAAAATTTGGTATTGCATATAAATAAAGAAATATTACCCCGTAATCCATGACCAGGTGAAGTCACATTGGAATCACATTGCGTTTAGACGCAAATCGCGATGCGGGAAAACCGATTCGAAACCACCTGATTTGTAACGTTCAGATGGGGCCTACTTGAAACCAGCTTCGGGGGAAACCACATGTAAAGCGCCTTCACTGACTTCATATGAACAGGGCCTAAGTCTTCATATGTAGGTCTTCCTTTTTACTCACGTTTCCTGCACCTGACTTTGCCCAGCACAGCCTCCACATTTGAAGTGTTGGAGTTCCAACTTGCCGTTCCCCTCGTCGGCTCCGCAGTGTCCGCAATACCGCCCGGCACTCGCGCCCTGGTACGTGGTCTGGAAACACCAGGGATTGTTACCCTTTTGCACAAATACTGTTTACTAATCATTGGCTAAATGTTGGAAATCCGGATCGATCCTGCTGTAAAATTGCAACATAATGTAACTCAATACTGAGTTACCATGGTGACAGACGTGTGGTTCAGATCATTGACTTTACTTGTTTGTAGAAGAAGAAGAGCAAAAACAACATCGACTTAATTTTATGGATGACATCCACGCGCGCATTAGTTTTCGCCTGTTCTCAAAAAAAAAAAAAAAAAGATCAGAGGCTCTGGCCTGGATCTAGGCCTGGGTAGTCCATGGTAGTTAGCGACAATACGGAACCGGCCACCCAGGCTACCGAAACTCCGTCTCCGACTCAAGAACTCAGTACAGTATACGTACAGTGCCAATTCATAATTTTCGCAAAAAGCAGCATATACCGGCTTGTACTATGTCGCATACTTCGCTATGTATTGCGGCAAATTCACAGTGTATTCCTGTGGTTTATTTTTGGCTGGGATTTTTTTATTCGCCCGCGCGAACTAGTTTGGGGGCCTTCAGAGGATGTCATCCATAGAATTAAGTCGGGGTGGCTGGCCTAAACATAAAACAGCATCATCTGGACTCAAAAACTTAACCCTATTCAGACCGGGCTTTTTTGGGCATGCTCAGACGGGAGGGGGGGGGCTTTTGAGGCCCGCCCCCTGTAACTCAACAACCACTTATCGTAGGGCCATCAAATTTTCAGAGAATGATGTAGTAATAAAATTGGTTCATAACAACAATTTTTGTGTAATTATGACGTCATTATGACGGCATTTATATGCTTTTTTGGGGTAAAACCCTCAATTTTTTTTCCGAAAGCCTTAAAACAAACTTTGACAAAAATGTCTCTGATACAATATTAATGTCTGCTAAGACTTATGTTGCCCCTGCCAACAACACTGAGGTCAAAATGACGTCATAAAATGATGTCATGCATAATTAAGCTGTCGGCCATCTTGGATCGGAAATCTTGAATTTTGAAAATTGCATTTAAAAAAAAACAGCCTAAAAACGTAACGCAAATGGACTAAAGATGCTCATATGAACGTTTTATGTGAAAAAAACACGGAGTCGATACGAAAAATTAGTGAAAAAACATGGCTACACAAGACGTCCGCCATCTTGGATGTTGACCGATGACGTCATCAGATTAGCATAAATTAGGAATATTTAATGAGGGAAATTATATATAATTATATAAAATGTTATGAATGTTAAAAAGGAAGTGTAATTCAACGTAGAGCCTGGAAAATTTTAATGTTTGAACCAAAATGACTGATTTTTCCAAAAACTGCCTGTCAGAAACCCGTTGCCATGGCAACACAAAAATTAGGAATTTATCTAATTAATATGAAATTGTTGCCAGATGTTTTTAGGAAAAGTCACCAAATTTGACGCTTCTAGCGCAAGCCATTTTGGCGCTATCTGAGATGAAAGTGGGCGCGGGCCTCAATGCCCCTCCCCCGGTCTGAATAGGGTTAAGGTGAATTGGTGTTGACAATAATGACCGTATCATGTGTATCATTCACAATGCCCGTGGTGTGGCTAAAAAAACACCCATAACAAAGGCGCATAGCGGAACGCAGCCGGACTCCCGAACATGAACGCACAGAACATCACAGAAGGGCGTTCTTCACCCAATATCTTATTGCAATCGTGGCCCTCAGACGTTCAAAAGTAGAACATTATTTTCCAGAAGCGTGCCTATATCTAGTTCTTAGCAGTGCTTTAATGCGTTAGGATCAGGGACAGGCAGTTCTGTATAGTTACCGCGTAGCCACTGGGAACGTATGCGGTTACGGTCCGAGTGAAGTCAGCTATTCGGTTGATACGCGTGGACTACCCACGAATAACCGTGCTTGAGCCTGGTTCTGGATTCAACATACCCTGTCACATGTGGGGTTCCCGCCGCTCTCGTCACAGTTGTTACAGCAGACGTAGAAGTGAACTCCAGAAGTTCCACCCCCCGTAATGTGCACACATTCGCCCTGGGGCGGGGCGGGGACCGTGCGGACCTGACGGCCGGACGTCTCCCGGACAGGCTCCGTCTGCCGGCCCGAAGACTGGGATAGGGTTGATTCAACTCACTACATTAAAAGATTGGACAGGATTCAAGCCAAATTCCATATATTCTGGTGGGAATTCTACTGTCCGAAGCAACTGCAAATTTTGAGGTATAGGGAACAAAGAACTATAAGAAAAATATCACAAACATCTAGTTCTAAGTACGTAGTGTGCAGCTGGCCTATTACTAGGGCAAATATTCAGAAGTCACGGGTTTCGAACTGGGTAACAAGTGCTGAGAAAAAGACTTTTGTATACTTGCAGGCCCTGTGTGTCAGAGATTTCGTTCGTCTGAGACCCTATATTTTTGTTTGTTTATTTTTATTTGTTTGGTGTC